GGGGACCAGGGATAATGACTTCAGCGGGGCCGTCCTGGTGAGGACTGGCAGCTGCTCCCACTGGGATCCCCCAGAGCGGGAAGTTTCCCATTGAGAAGGTGCACTTCTAAATAATTGAAAAGCATTTTTAAATCTGGCCTCACACTCAATAACCTTATAACAGAAAGATGAGCAGTGGGGCTGTAGTTGACATTCAGTTCCTGCTCCAGTTTTTTTTTAATTAACTACTTTTTATTTGAGAGAAACTTCGGAATAAATACATTCTCCACGTCGTCACAGCCATCTTTAATTTTTTCTTTCCATCTTTTAATATTTTGTTTGTCCTGTGACTTAACAGAAATCTGATTGAATTATTGAATAGTAAATATAAAACTAAAATATTCAGTTGGGTTTTGCGTCATTTAAATAATTGGATGTATAAATATATATAGATATTTATTTCCCTCATGATCTTTTGAGTTTATGTGAATTGTTTTCAGTCTGGACTGAATGCAGAGTGATGTGACTGCAGTGTATGAAGCTCCTCATATAGACTGAGGTATTGACCTGGTGTTTTTGCTCAGGATTGATTGATTGATTGATTGATTGATTGACATTCAGTTGACTGTGTGTTCTTTTGTCCATGAACACAGTTAGAATCTAAATCTGAGCCTCAGTTTGGTCCAGGTTTAAAATCGTTTCATCCTCTGGTTGAGAAACAGTCAAACAGAAACACACCGATGCAGATAAAGAACCCCGGCTCCTCTGCTCATTATTTTCTTTCGCCCTCGTGCAGTAACGATCTCTGGGTCTTGGACTCAGTCTGGGCCTGAGCGTGCCGAGCTCACAGATGCACGGGGGCATCGCACTCTCAGTCTCTGAGCCTATTTATATACGTGTGTTTAAAGAGTGGAGGGCGGAGCGCCAGCGCCAGCGTCTCTGTGACTTCCAGGATTAGTCGCGAGACACCTCGTCGCTCACGTTGGTCGATGAGCCGCAGTCCACGTCACACACCAGCTGACGGCCCGACTCTCGGGCAAACATCGCAGAAATGTCTGTTGGTTCGTTCACCAACTTAAAAACGAGATTTAATCTGTAGAGATTTGGTTATAATTTAATTCTAGGGAAACTTTCTCCCTAAAAGTCGAAGCATCGACATTGGCCTCAGTTCTCATTATTTCTTTTATCCGTTGTTATTGCTGTAAAGCCTGTAGCGCCAGCGTCTAACTGACTGACATATATACAGATATATATACAGATATATATATATATATATATATACAGATATATAACATGTTATCACTGTAATACACAGTGATGTGTTTTAAGGAGTACTCTGAGACTCTGAGATTCGGGCCAATAGAAAATCAGGAAATGAACTGAAGAAATAGATGGAATGGAATATAATCAGACTGTGTTGTTAATCAGAAGGTCAGAGGTCAAGACAGCTACAAAGTTGATTGAAAAATGTTGGTAGAAGATGTGGACGTTTTTATTTCATTTTTAAAAATATCCTTAATTCCTCATTAATTTGGCAAAATGTATTTGTACCTACAACAAAGGAGAGTCTCAGCTGCTGCAGTAAATAAAAGCTCTAACGTCAATCAGCCCAACAATGGAAATAAAGACAGGTTGAAGTTTGATTTAAAAAAAAAAAAAAGTTTTTTGGATTTTGTTTTTTCAAAGTGACCAGAAAAGAGAGGTTTCCATTGTCAAGTCTTGGCCTCGGCTGCTGTTGTGAGCGTCTGTACCTTTGATTTTTGGCTGAGGTTGCCTGTTGCCGTGGATACCTCTCTGCTGCTTTTCTCTCTTCAGGTTCTCCTCAATTATCCTCTTTCTTATTTGTTCCTCTTTGCTGTGTTTAGGGCTGAGGGTGAGGTGTGGCTGCTGCTGCTGTCACTGCTGTCAGGGACGGCAGTGAGTAAATCCTCACCTGCCGTCGGGCTCGCAGCAGATACGTTGTTGTTGTTGTTCAGTCCGTTTGTCTGCGATGTCCATGGAACGTTTGGTAGTTTTATATTTTTATTTATTATGTTTTTCATTTCTGTATTTTATCCGTGTAAACGGCTGAGCCGGTGTGTGTGTGTGTGTGTGTGTTTGAACTCAAACCTCAGAGGAGGTTTTCACTGTTTATTTGGCTTCTTGTTGCTCACACGTCCCTGAATCACCTGCCTCGACACCAGTGACATTAATCTGTCTGCTTCAACCACTTCTGTTTCACCTGTGATTTTCCTTCCTACACTTTTTTCTCCACTATTTAAAAACTGATTCACCCTCAGACCCAGAGACTGAGTTTAATCATTACCAAATGGAAAAGTTCATTTAATTCCACGTTTTATTACTTTGTCTAAAATTCCTTAACCTCACTCCTCCACGCCTTTCGAGTACATGATCCTCGCCACCATCATCGCCAACTGTATCGTCTTAGCCCTGGAGCAGCATCTTCCCGGGGAGGACAAAACACCCATGTCCAAAAGACTGGTGAGAAATACACACACACACACACACACACACACACACACGCACAGACAAACCTCTGTGGTTCTGCTGAGGTTCTTCCACGACCTCACTGACTCTGACTCTCTGACTCTTTGACTCTCTGACTCTCTGACTCTTTGACTCTCTGACTCTCTGACTCTTTGACTCTCTGACTCTGACTCTCTGACTCTCTGACTCTCTGACTCTCTGACTCTCTGACTCTCTGACTCTCTGACTCTCTGACTCTCTGACTCTCTGACTCTCTGACTCTCTGACTCTCTGACTCTCTGACTCTCTGACTCTCTGACTCTCTGACTCTCTGACTCTCTGACTCTCTGACTCTCTGACTCTCTGACTCTCTGACTCTCTGACTCTCTGACTCTCTGACTCTCTGACTCTCTGACTCTCTGACTCTCTGACTCTCTGACTCTCTGACTCTCTGACTCTCTGACTCTCTGACTCTCTGACTCTCTGACTCTCTGACTCTCTGACTCTCTGACTCTCTGACTCTCTGACTCTCTGACTCTCTGACTCTCTGACTCTCTGACTCTCTGACTCTCTGACTCTCTGACTCTTTGACTCTCTGACTCTGACTCTCTGACTCTCTGACTCCGTGTGAACAGGAGAAGACGGAGCCGTATTTCATCGGCATGTTCTGTTTTGAGGCCGGGATAAAGATCATCGCTCTGGGTTTTGTGTTCCACAAAGGCTCCTACCTGAGGAACGGATGGAACGTCATGGACTTTATAGTCGTCCTCAGTGGGTGAGTCACTGTGTCTGTGTCTGTGTCTGTGTCTGTGTCTGTGTCTGTGTCTGTGTTTACTTGTTGAACATGGCTACACTCTCTGTTCAGCCTTTTTTTCTCATAAAACAAATGAGAAAAAACAAATGTTGAAAGTGATTTTTTTTTTTTTTTTTCCACTTTCACTGAGTCTGTGTGGTTTTTCTCCGCGGCTGTTGTGGACTCAGCAGCACAGACTCCTGTACTCAGGTGTTGGCAGCTCATTAAACTCTCACCTCTCTGTTCTCAAGGTGNNNNAGACAGCCAGCGGAGTGAGAGCGGTCGGCGGGGGGGGCGGGGGGGGGGCGGGTGGGGGGGGGGGGGGGGGTGTTTACCAGTGGGTCTGTTGTTCTGAGTGGAAAGTTGTTAAATTAAAGGGCATCTGAAAAACCACACAGGCTCTGGAGAGAGAGAGAGTGTGTGTTAACACTCTCTCTCTCTCTCTCTCTCTCTTTGACTCACACACACACGTGCTCAAATGAAATATTAATTCACAGCGCAGAAATATAAAGGGCGTCGGAGCGAGTTCTTAGAGAATTGGACATGATTCTGTCTGGTTAATTATTGATGAGCGGAGCTCAGGCTTCCTAACGAGGGGGGGGGGCAGACGGAGATGAGAGGGAGAAGTGGATTTGAGAGTTAAGTGGCGTGAAATGTTGTTGGTGATTGGAGGACGACGGTACAGTCAGAGCGCCACCTACCTGACGGAGAGTTCTCTGTACGGTCAGAATCAGAATCTTGATTAAGGAACGCCGAGACAGACGGCACTTAATGAAGGTTCTGAACTGGACCGGAGCTCCTGCAGCACCGACACTGTCTGTGATCACACTCAACAGACAACAGCAGCACAGACAGAGAGGTCAACACAGGTCACAGGTTTTAAACTCACTCATTAAATCAGAAACTCACACCATCATCATCATCATCATCATCATCATCATCATCATCATCATCATCATCATCATCATCATCATCATCATCCTCCTCCTTCACTGCTCTGTGACTGTCGGAAAAAAAAATCATTCTCAGCTTCATATCTGTCTTTTTAAAAAAATATATATATATTTTTTGTTTCTTCAAATGTTCTTGTTTTGTCCAATCAGTGACCTCGTCCATGTCCATGAGTCTAATTTCCAGCTGCTGGTTTGACTCTCAGTCCAGATGAAATGGACTTCACTCAGATCTGACTGTGTTAATATTCAACATGATGAAGTGATTCTCACATTATCATCCTGACGGCACCGATGACAAATGAATGAAAACCTCCTCTCTCTCTCGTTCTCTCTCTCTGTCACACACACACACACACACATAAGATTTGCAGCTTTATTAGTATGACTGATGTTTATGAGTTTGTCCAACATCATGTGAGCAACGGTCGCTCTCTCTCTCTCTCTCTCTCTGTGTTGGTAATTATTAAAGCCGGTGCAGACGGGACGTGTCCTGAATCACTGACTCCTCATTGGCTCCTGGTCTGGTCTCACATGTTTGATTCCATTTTCAATTACACGAGAAAACAACAACATTGATGTTACTTTGTAAAATAAAATGTTGATATTTTGGTAATTGCTCAATTACATTTACTGTAGTGAGATGATTTAACCTCCCCAAAAAAATGAGCTAAACCAGACGCATCAACAAAGAGAGAAACCCTCGACTCACCCCCGACTCACCCACCACTGGTTCTGTCTGTGATGAGACAAACTGCGGAGTGAATCACAGACACGCACACGTCTGTCTGCATCACCTCTCCTTCACGACTAACCCTGACTCACTCAACGTTCAGTAATGACAGAAGCGATGGCTGACAGTGTCGACACCGGAGGCCAAGATCAGTGCAGCGAGCTGCGCTGGTCGTTTTACGCTGGCACTGAACAGAGAGGCTGAGTGGGAGGGAGGTCTGAGACACCAGGCTGTTTCTACAAAGGCTGTAATTGTGTGTGTAGTGGCAACGGCTGAGGGTTTTCTCCGACCATCCCATGAGATTCTGTTGAGGATGGAAGCTTTGAGTGGAAAGTCAGGAAACACAGGCAGAGAAATGAGAGAAGAAGAAAGAAAGAAGATAAGGAGAGAAGGAGAGAAGGAGAGAAGGCGAGGAGAGATGGAGCGGGAGGAAACCAGAGGGTTGCCTCGGTGCATAATTGTGTGTATTAATTACCCCTTCTGCAGCCTCATTTGCTAGCAAGCCTTCCATTAGACTGAACAACATGTGTCAGAGGGTGACGCCCACCAAGAGTTTGTGTCATCACCCCGTGCCAGACACTCACAGGGGTGAGGCGGGTGAGGCTGGATAGGATAATAAAACTAAGGCGACTTTTTGGTTCATAAAATTGTGATCAATTTTTAAGTCCACCGAACAACGTCTGTGTTTTTTGGGGGGGTTTTTTTACAACACTTTTTCAGCAGTGGAAAAGTAAATAAAAACTTTAGGAATACATACTTTTAAATCGTGCCTGCGTGAGAGGTAGTGTATATACTTTGGGTTTACAAACACTCTCCTCAGAATTGGACATACTATACCGTTTATATGCTCAACTACATGTGAGAAACGTGGGTTCAAGAAGTTTGAGGTTAGCTGGGACAAAACGTTGTACAAACAGTGTCGGGAGAAACTCGGGCCTGTCCCGGTATCGACGTTTAAAACTATTGTCACATTTTAATTGCTAACAATTAAATCAATTAAATAAAATGTAGATAGAGCTCATAATTGACAGGCGGCGAGAGATTAGCTTTTGAAGCTAAGCCAGAGCAACGAACACCCACGTTTGTCCTCTTTTTTTTTTTTTTTTTTACACTCTGATCTCTTTGTTACACCTGCACTCCGTGTGTGTGTGTGTGTGTGTGCGCCGGCGTTACAAAACACACGCCGTACTGACAGAAAGTTTAGACAAGAGTTGAATTTTTTTATTCCTGCCAGTTGTCGTTCTGTACAATTAGAAACATGTTCAATTTGTGGATTTTGTCTTAGACAAAGACGTTTGACTTGAGAAAATCAATGTAAAAAGTAACATCTTTTTTTCACGTCATCTCAGGAGAATTTCTCTTGACTTTCTCCTGTGAATATTACCCAGTAAAGTAATTGTACCGTCTTTTAAAAAACATCTCAAAGAAGCTGAACACTGAGGGTTGTTAAAACATCGGTGAAATGTTTTGGGGGAAAAATAGGAAAAGTGGTTCTATGGTTGTTAAATAATAAAATAGCAGAGCTAAATTATTCCCGTCTGAAAAAGCAGAATAAAAATGTCTAAAATCTTAGACATTTTCTACTGCCCCTGCTGACCCCCTGACCTTTACCTGTGAGCTCTTTTTGAGTTTGTTTTTTTCCCTCCTAACCACAGACACACACTCCGGTGATCATTGTTACTATATTTATATTGTCCTTGTTCCAGAGTTATACTTAGCTCCATGTAAACCTCTGTATCCAAGTAGGAGATCGACCAATGAGTCATCGCTGCACTCCACCAAATGATCTTCCTTCTCACTCTTTTCCTGCCTCTCTCTCTCTCTCTCTCCCCCTCTCCTTCAGTCTCTCTCACTTTTTCACCTTCAACAGATGGCTTATAAATCATTCATTCAAATTAATTATTCATCTTTGCCAAAGACCAAACATTTACCTGTCTGACAAATAAACCAAAATGTTTGGATGAGACTCTTTTAAAAATGGATTCATATGTAAATCCAAGTCAGAATCTGGGGAAACTTCACTGTGTACGACCTACTGGGAAATAAACAGAGCAGCGGCTGTAGTTAACAATTAACACTGAGTTCTCTCTTCAAACAGGAGAATTTGTCCATATACATTTGTGTAATATTCAGAATTAGAAATTATTTATTTCAATATTTCATCTATGAAATGAACAATACAACATATATTTTTTGTGCTGTTATTTAAAGAAACACGTGACATTTTAAAGCCGTCCTTCGACTACAACACCGTGAACGGTGGCGTGAATAAGACCCGCCGTAGAACGGATGTCTTCACGGCTCGGCGTACGCCACGTTAGTTTGCAGTTTGACAGTGACACAGAGCATAAGTCACAATGTTATCGCTATCACAGCTCCAACAGATTTGTCACGCAGTGAGGAGCTGTCGCCTCTTCAGCGTCTGTCGCTGCTCTTCACTGATGGTGGCTGACAGCTCAGACCAGCACAGACCAGCACAGACCAGGGCACCAGTGTCTGTGTCCCACTGAGGGCCCGCAGACACGTGTTGACTCACCTCGTGGTCCTGCTGGGGACTGGAGTGACTTCAGAAACTCGGAGCTGCACCAGGCAGCTGTCAAGTGTGTGTCCTGTCTGCAGTTGTTAGTGTCCAAACTGAAGCAGTTTAAGTTTTAAGACAGTCATCGCCTGAAGTTGTTCTTAGAAACATGAAATAATCATCTGAGGCTCAGAGGTTTACAAACAAAATCCTGTGGAAAAGAGAACACGATTTTCCTGTTTCTTTCAGTCGTTAATGTGTGTGAAACTTTTCAAATGAAGTGAGTTGAGAAACATCATTTCACCAGATTATAAATTGATTCAGTTCATGTGTGTGTGTCACCAAAAAAAAAAAAAAAAAAAAAAAAGATTTAGAAAAATTTTTAATAAATAATGGACATCTACAATAGAGAAACATTAAATTTCTTTACTTAATACGCGCCTTGTCCATTCTATCGTCATCATAAAACCAAGTAAATTCTGTGCACTGTATGGTTTGGTTGTTTCAGCACCATGGACAGCTCTCCACATTCATCCATGTGACTCATTTATCCAAGTTAGAAACCAGTGAATACTTGTGTTCCAGTATTGATATATTATATATATATTTAGTGTCACAGTGAACCAGGAAACACAGGTTTATATCTCTGATCTATTTGAGTGTTTGAAGTTTAAATATCAATACATGTCCTGATTGAACTGAGGTCATGTGACACTGGTCACATGACCTCAGTCTGATACAGTGAGATTCAATGTTAACTCAGTTAAGGCTCTACAAAATGATCATAATTAGACAACGTGCTCCATGACGTCCACTGAACACCAGCGGAGTTAATGAGGGAGCCGTTTTTAGACTCTTTATTTCACGGTCTCCGTCTTCATGGAACGGTTCGAAAAAAGTAGATCTGGTTGTAGGTGAAGCTGAAGAATATCTGGGATTAAAATGGGAACAAAATCCAAAGTTGGTGCAGCCACGGGGAGGTGTGAAACTCATGAGAATGTTTCCGTTTCTATACTGGTAGCGATGATGCCGATGAGCTATTTTAGACGTTAGTTCTCACCTTCTCACTTCCTGTTAGCGACTCTGTTCGTACCAACCCCCACAGCCTCCTTCATCCTCCGTGGCTTCATTAAATCACACTTTGTTTTCCATCATCCACAGCAACAACAATGTGATGTTCTCCACATCCGTCACAATGATGTGATGTTTCATATCAGTTTGGAGTTTAATCAATTTCTTTTGACTCAACTGGTGTGGATTTTAGCAAAGAAAGAATTGTGTAGATCTGAACTTCTTAGTTTTCTTGTTGTTTTGCCTCTTTTAACGGTTGGAATTCATCTTGACATCAGTGTTAAAATGTCAGGTGTAAAAATATAATTAAGACAAGATTTAAATAACAGATGAAAAGTCCCAGTATTTCTTCAGTAAAAAAAAGGACAGACTAATGAGAGACCCGTGTCCTCGACGGGTCAACAGACACTGATTCTTCATCCGACGTGTTTTTACAGGATGGAGTAAAAGAGGAGACAAATCAAATTACAAATTCAACTTTTGAAGGAGTGCAGATGAAAAGACGTGTGTGTGTGTGTGTGTGTGTGTATGTGTGTGTGTGTGTCTCCCCTGCCTGAGGTTGTCCTCCCTTGTCTTGATGGAGCTGCTTTCTTTGTTCTCCTTCTAAACAGCAGTTGTCACAGCCGTCCTCCCACACACAGGGAGTCGGGCATCATCAGACTTAAGACCCAAAAGCGTCCTGCTTGTTTTCACTTGTCTCCGTCTGCCAACACACTTTTCATGTGTATAAATCCCTGTTTTGACACACTTGTAATCAGCTTTTTAACAAAGCGCTTCTTTTGGGGGTTTTTGCACCAAAACACTGAACAGACGCTGCACTCGTGTTCACTTGTTGTGTAGGATCCTGGCTGCAGCCGGGGCTCACATGAACATCTCTGTGGATCTGAGGACTCTGAGGGCGGTGCGGGTTCTGCGACCCCTCAAACTGGTCTCTGGAATTCCCAGTGAGTACAACTTCATAGAAATGTAATATTTCTGATGTCACATATTCTTTTTGCATTCGTACCTTTCTTGTCTGTACATCCATGGAAATGATTTTATGGAAATAGGTGTGAAATTTTTCTCTGTGTAAAACACGACAAAGATGAATTTTTGGACATTATTTGTTAAAAACAACGTTCACATTGACATTGGTTTTTTTTTGTATTTTCAACTACTTTTCTAATAAGTCTGTAAATAAATCTCACAGCTTTTTTGAACGTCAAATAAACTTAAATGTTTGTGGTTCAACTCATCACATTGTTGACGCTGAAACCCGACCTTGTCTAGGACAGTAAAGGCATCACTGTAAACCAGCCGTTTAGTTTCAGGGTCTGTCTGTTGCTGTGAGTTTAAAAAAAAAAACAGTACCAAAGTCAGTTGATGCAACTGCAGTTAAGAAGAATGTGACGTAAGTGTGAGTTGGGAAGAAGTTTCCACCACATGGAACAACAGGATCCTGGTTTGACGGCCGGCGCTCTGAGCTCATCGTGTCTTTGTTTTCAAACTGTTTCTCCTCAGGTCTGCAGATCGTCCTGAAGTCCATAATGAAGGCCATGGTTCCACTGCTGCAGATCGGCCTGCTCCTGTTCTTTGCGATCCTCATGTTTGCGATCATCGGCCTGGAGTTCTACAGCGGAAAACTGCACTCCACCTGCAGCCCACAGCCTGGAATACTGGGTACGGACGCACTCACACGTTTAGACATTTATATTGATATATTTATCATTAACCTGGATCTGATTTGAACGTCATCACCGGACGTGTTCCCTGTAAAGAAGGTTAGGATTGAACTGGATGTTGAAATGACCTCAACATAAAATAATGTTATTTTAACAGATTCCTGACTCACAGGTCACAGGGTAAAGTATCGCAAATATCTTTTGTTTGTGGATGAAGTAAGATTCCACCTTTATTGTAATAACCAAAAGTCAATCATGCGAGAAAAAAAAAAATCAATAAACACGTAAAACTGTAGCTGGAGATTTGATCAAATCAAATCAGCAGCGTTGTTCCATCACAGAATAACAACGATATTGAACTGCTGACAGGAGAGTCGTTTGAAGCCGAGGTTTCTAATGAACAGAACTGTCCTAAACAGTAGTGGAGTAGAAAATAATCACAGACAGGCTGTCAGTGCTGGGCCGTGTATCACGGAAGGTCACATTTTCACAGTTTTACACTGCAGAAAGTGTTCAAAATCTATTTAAATTCAGACTTTTATTTTAGATTTCTTTTTTTATTTTCTTCATTTCTCACCAGAAAATGAGACGGTGGACTCTTCGGAGTTTGAGTTCCCGTGCGGTGTGCGCCAGTGTCCGGCCAAATACACCTGCACCGACACCTGGATTGGACCTAACGACGGCATCACGCAGTTCGACAACATTCTCTTCGCCGTTCTCACCGTCTTTCAGTGCATCACCATGGAGGGCTGGACCACCGTGCTGTACAACGTGAGACTTTTACCTGTTTTTGGAACCTCTGTAATCTGTAGACAATCACTCATGCGTGAAGGGTGGGATTTGAGGGGTGAAAAAAAAGGGGGGTTTGAATCACCTGTCACGTGTGAATGAGAGTCATCTCTGAGACAACCGGTTCATTTTGAAAAAAAAAACACACGGTGTTTTGCAGGAAGACTGTTTAGAATGATGTCTGTTCCTTCTGTCTGAACCTCGATGAGTTCAAGCAGAGCAGTGAGGTTCAGTCGGTGTGTGTGTGTGTGTGTGTGTGTGTGTGTGTGTGTGTGGGCTGAACACGCAGAGAAACACCGACCACTGCAGGCAAATGAAACGGTCCAAACTTTCTGTAGTGTCGTGCTCCAAATCATTAGACATATGTAGAGTTTTTTTTGTTTTTTTTTTTAATTTTATTGGCTGCGGCTTCACAGTGTGAAAATTCTATTTCCTGTTTTCCCACACACTGACGGCCTAGAGCAGAGACGTGACGCTGTAGCGTGAGAACTGTGTAAAACATGGTCTGATCTCACACACTAATGCAACACCGATGGTGTGAAGAGCGAGTCGTCGGCACCACAGGGTTCTTCAGTCCACTGTCTGAGCCTGTTCTTTTATAACGGCTGCAGGCAACACGGTGGAGGAGCGGCTAGAAAGAACCAGTTCGATCCCCTGTGGTTTGAGTGAAGGTTTGAGTGAGTTTTCTGTCCAGAAACAGGCAGGATCCAGGACATTGTTGACTCCACCTTGAACACACAGTCGGTGTGAATGATGGTGTGAATGATGG